TGTCTCTGTCTCTCTCCAGAGAGTGCTCGTGCCTTATAATAACACCCTTTAAAAAAAAAAAAAGTTGTGACTACCTATAGTATTTGAAAACACTTTCACAAAATATTATGTATTTTCTATGAGAACATACCTACTATATAAATACATAGAAATGAGATGGGTAGAAAACACATCAGTCTGATAACTTCTCTCTTTTTTTTTTTTTTTAAAGACTTACTTATTTAATTTGGTTTGATAACACAATTGCAAGGGGAGGGAGAAAGGATCAGTTTGGTGGAAGTACAGGGTATTGGGTTTGGTTGAAGGAGACTTTAGATTTATCTATCATGTTTCTACTTTTTATAAGAAGAATGTTTTAATAAATTATTTAACTAGCCAACAATCAATTTTAACCACAAATACAAAAAGCACTGGAGGGACCAGCAGATGGCATAACGTTACATCACTGGTCTCCCATGGTAGTCCACCACATTTTGGGTCCCAGACCCGGCAGCTTAAAACTCATGCTGGGCGCATATGCGTGCATGCCCCAAATCCTAAGAGAATGGAGAAGAAGGGACTGCAGCATGGCCATTCCTCCAGGGGTTAATTTCTCACTTTCTGTCTGTCTGTCAAGCGCATGCAACCTATAAGGGGAAAAAAGTCTCTCAAAAAAAAAAAAACATTGGAAATATATGTAAGAACTACTATTGGTAAGAATTCAACTAGTTATAAAGGTTCTTTTTTTTTTTTTGTATGCCATTTATGAAAACAACCTAGTACTCGGGACCAGCAGTTAGTGTAATGGTTATGTCGCTGGACTCCCACGTAGTCGACCGCGGTTCGCGTCCTGGACCCGGTAGCTTAAAACTCACACCGGGCGCATGTGCATGCGTGCCCAAGATCCCGAGAGGAGAATGGAGAAGGGATTGCGGCGTGGCCATCCCCCTGGGGGGTGGTTTCTCGCTTTCTGTCTCTCTGTCTCTCTCTGTCTGTCTGGCGAGTGCTCGTGCCCTATAGCAAAAACCTCTCCAAAAAAAAAAAAAAAATCCTAGTACTGAATTGGTTCCATTTAGCAAGTCAGATAAGTCTGGATTATGCCAAGTTACTAAGCATGAAGAATGAGGGAAAAGCCTCCTGAGTTTGCTGGCATCCTATATCAGATTAACGTGAGAGAGAGACACTGATAGATTTTCTTCCTCTTTCTTTCAGAATAGAACACAGTAGTCCTGAGGCCACTGCCATTTGCCTGAATGTTTACTCTATCTGAGCTGTTTGACTTTAGGTTAGGGTTTGCCCTTGCTTTGAGGCAAAGAATAGGGGAGCCATTTCTCTAGCCTGAAGAAATGGCACCAACACATTTTTCATTGAAAGCACTTGTTTATTTGAAGATATAGTTTGTCCCCATTGGAACTCAATTTTGTTGAAAGTTATCCTGAATGTGTGTGTGTTGAGGGGAGGGGGTTGGGGCAGTATGAGGGTACTTTAAAAATTCATGAAAGAATGGAATTGAAGTATAAGTTTATTTTCATTCAAAAATTTCTGTATTTATTCATTCATTTTTTAAAAATTTGACAAGAGAGTGTCCGGACCCGCAGGACAGTCAAACAGATTTCCTGAGGGAAGGAGTGAGAGACAGGACGAGCAACAGTGGAGATGACGTGGAGATGACACAGTGTTACAACACGGAGAGGACACAGTGTTACAACTCTTCAGGATAGTCCCTTTATTGTGGGCCAGGGATCGTGGTTATATACATGTTGGTGGGTGGTGACTGGTTAAATGAAGGATTGTAAAAGGTGGATTATGATTGGTTGCTTTTGTGGACAAATCATGAGGTGCCGGATATGCAAATTTGAGGGATTCTAGCTTCCGCCAATTGGTGAGCACCATGGTTAGTGGCCAATCAGAGTATGGTTTTGAAGGTTAGGTTTTGAAGGGGAGCCAATCATGGCCTTTGACATTGTGTAATTGTTTGCTCTCTGAGCCTAAGATGGCAATAGTAAGAGACTCATGAAAATGGCCTCGGCAGACTCGCTGGTGCGCAGCCTCCCACAAGAGAGAGAGAGGGAAAGTGAGAAAGCATGTCTCCAGGTCTGGGACTTGAACCGTGGTCAGCCATGTGGCAATGTCCAGCACCTTAACCACCACACCACCTGCTGGTCCCAAAATACATGAATTGTTTCATAACACATATTTTGAAGACCCCTGGTAAAGTCATTCCAAAATTTCACCTATGGGGGGACTATTTCCCACTTCATTCTAATGAAGCCAGCATTATCCTAAATACCAAAACCAGAAAAGACATTACAATGATCCCCTCTTGTCCTTTATATCAATTACCCAGAGCCAAATCTTGGCCAGTATTTTAAGAGAAAAAGCACAACCACCTTCACCTAACTTTAATACAGTACATTGTTATAGTCTTTTATTATTGGTTACTGTTGCTAGTCTCTTACTGCACATAATGTATAAATTATACTTAATCGTAAATCTGTATATATAAGGAAAACACCACGTATATATAGGGTTCAGTACTATATGCCATTTGAGCATCTACTGGGTTTCTTGAAACAGTACCTTCCCCTATGGATACAGGGACAACTACTGTACAAGAAAACTGTAGACCAATATCTGTCATTAACACAGAAGCAAAATTTCTAGACACAAATGTACCAAATCGAATCCCAGAATATACTAAAAGGATAATTACATCATGACCACATTCATCTGTAGTGACAAAAAGCTGATCAATGGCTGCTTGAGGGTTGGGAGGTCTGGTAGAAAGATTACAGAAGGGAATAAAGGAACCTTTGGAAGCAAGGAGAATGTTCACTACCTTGATTATGGTGATATCTTATCAGGTATTCATGTATGTCAGAAACTTGCCTTGGGTGTTTGGAAGCATGAAGAGAAAAACTGGAGTAAATACAGAACATCACCAGGCCAGACCGTAGCGCCATGGTTAAGGGATGTTCAGAAGCAGCTGGACTCTACATGGCAGACCAGTCCCTGTAGTCCTGGCTGTGTCCTGCTCCCTGTAGTTTGAAAAATATACTAGAGGGACCAGCAGATGGTGGAATGATTACATTGCTTGGACTCCCACATATTCGACCACGGTTCAAATCTCAGACCTGGTACCTTAAAACTCATGCCCAGAGCGTGTGCGTGGGTCCCCAAAATCCTAAGACTGAGAATGGATAAGGTATTGAGGAGTGGCCATACCCCCCTAACACATATTTTGAAGACCCCTGGTAAAGTCATTCCAAAATTTCACCTATGGGGGGACTATTTCCCACTTCATTCTAATGAAGCCAGCATTATCCTAAATACCAAAACCAGAAAAGACATTACAATGATCCCCTCTTGTCCTTTATATCAATTACCCAGAGCCAAATCTTGGCCAGTATTTTAAGAGAAAAAGCACAACCACCTTCACCTAACTTTAATACAGTACATTGTTATAGTCTTTTATTATTGGTTACTGTTGCTAGTCTCTTACTGCACATAATGTATAAATTATACTTAATCGTAAATCTGTATATATAAGGAAAACACCACGTATATATAGGGTTCAGTACTATATGCCATTTGAGCATCTACTGGGTTTCTTGAAACAGTACCTTCCCCTATGGATACAGGGACAACTACTGTACAAGAAAACTGTAGACCAATATCTGTCATTAACACAGAAGCAAAATTTCTAGACACAAATGTACCAAATCGAATCCCAGAATATACTAAAAGGATAATTACATCATGACCACATTCATCTGTAGTGACAAAAAGCTGATCAATGGCTGCTTGAGGGTTGGGAGGTCTGGTAGAAAGATTACAGAAGGGAATAAAGGAACCTTTGGAAGCAAGGAGAATGTTCACTACCTTGATTATGGTGATATCTTATCAGGTATTCATGTATGTCAGAAACTTGCCTTGGGTGTTTGGAAGCATGAAGAGAAAAACTGGAGTAAATACAGAACATCACCAGGCCAGACCGTAGCGCCATGGTTAAGGGATGTTCAGAAGCAGCTGGACTCTACATAGCAGACCAGTCCCTGTAGTCCTGACTGTGTCCTGCTCCCTGTAGTTTGAAAAATATACTAGAGGGACCAGCAGATGGTGGAATGATTACATTGCTTGGACTCCCACATATTCGACCACGGTTCAAATCTCAGACCTGGTACCTTAAAACTCATGCCCAGAGCGTGTGCGTGGGTCCCCAAAATCCTAAGACTGAGAATGGATAAGGTATTGAGGAGTGGCCATACCCCACCACATCTCAAAAAAACAAAAACACACTAGGAGCCCTCTCCCAAGCACAGAATCCTAGAGGGAAAAAATGTTGCGGCATAACCAGGTCTTTCGGGGATGCTTTCTCTGAAAGAGAACGTCTTTCTCTCTCATGACACATGGTACTCTTTGGCATAAAAACAAAAAGAAACAGGACATTACCTTTTTTGGTTGTTTTACTATGAGAAAGAGGGGAGAGGAAAAGGGGAGGTCTATTTGATGGGGTCTGTGATTCCCTTGCCAGAGCCTCCCAGCCAACTACGATTAGGGGGGCCCTCCTAGGAACCTGGGCCTCCAAGTGGCCCCCTACCTCCTGAGCCACCTCAGCAGGGCCCACCATCACATTTTGTTATTATATATTACACACATATAGTCGCAAAACTCCCATGAAAGTAACAGGATAGAAGCGAAACTGTTCGTTTGCTGAGAGACAACCTAGTCAGGAAGAAGGGTACTTAGGAGGAGGGAGTAGGAGCTGAACAGGGATGGGAGACGGTGCAGAACGCGGAGCGGAATCAGGAAAAGCCGGGCGAGCGTTGAGAAATAAACGAGGCGGTCAGTCCTGGGATGCCGCCTGAAGCCCTGTGACCCTGAGCGCAAAACCGCGGTAGTGAGTGTGCGGTGGGGACCGCAGGGGCTGGCACGCAATACCAGAGCCGGTTTCCAGCTCCGCACGCCTCGGATTCAGAAGGGAAGAACCCGGCGGGATGCCGGAGCCAGGCGGTGCCAGGGACAAAGAGGGCGGAGCCCGAGGAGGGCGGGACAGCACGAACCTCGCTCCTCCCAGGGCTGGGGTGAGCCCGAGACCGGGACCCGCCTCTCCCGCGCTGTCGTCCTCACGGCGCCATAGGGGCAGCCATGGCGGGCAGCCTGCTGCGGGGTCTGTGGCATCGATGGCGCCGTTACAAGTACCGCTTCGTTCCTTGGATCGCGCTGAACCTAAACCACAACCCAAGGTGACAGGGCGGGGCGGCTGGCCCTGGGCCGAGTGCCTGTAACCAGCCGCGACGCTCCTACGGACCCAGGCCGCGCCGCTCCGCCGGCCGCTAGGCCACAGGCTGGTAAAGCCCACTGCGGGCGGAGCCTGACGGGGGCCTTGGGCCTATGGAGGGCGGGCCCCCGGGGGCGGAGTCTGAAGTTGCAAAGCGAACCAAAGAGGACGAAGTCCTGTGTGGGCGGAGCCTGAGGTGGCCCAGGGCCGTATTGGGCGGAGTCCGAGGGGGCCAAGGGGCCTAAGGGGGGGCCTCCGGCAGGCGGGGCCTGAAGCTGCGTAACGACCTAAACAGTCTGGTGTCCTGGGTGGGCGGGGCCTGAGGCAAAGGAACCAAAAGAAGGTGGGACCAAGGTGTCTGGCGCCCGAGGGAGCCAACGGACCTGAGGAGGGCGGGCCTGGGGCGGGCGTAGCCTGAAGACGAGTAAGGACTAAGGAGGGCGGACCCACGGTTTGTGGAGCCCGAGGAGGGCCAGGGGCCTAGGAGGGCGCGCCTGCAGTAGGCGGAGCCTGAGGCGGCCAGGGACCTAAGGAGAGAGAACCCACGGTGAGCGGATCCTGGGGTTGCGTAACGACCTAAGGGGGACGGACCGGCAGGTGGGCGGGGCCTGGGCCCAGCGACCTAAAGTGGGCGGAATCGGGGTGGGCGGAACCGAGGGCCCGAAGGGTCTGAGGAGCGTGGATTAGAGTTAAGTAGGGCGGGCTAAAGTGGGAGGGCCTGCGGCGGGCGGAATTGGGTGGGCGGGGCCGAGGTGGCTGAGGCGGGCGTATTAGGTTAAATTGGGCGGGCGGAGCCTGACGCCGCCTACGAGCCTATGGAAGGAGAGGCGGGAAGGCAGAGGCCGAGGGAGCTGGAGGCCGGCTGGTCCTGGAGCGGGAACTTGGCTTACGGGGGTGGGGCCTGGGGTCTCCCGCTATGTGCCTCTCTGAGAGGCCTGCGAGGCCGGAGTCGCGCGCGGGTCGTGGCATGTGTTCTTCCCTATGTAGTCTTCAGTGGCAGGGGACGTGTATCAGAGCAAAAAGTAAAAACTTAAAACATTTACTGCATAGCGTTTTCTCCACCGCGGCGTCGTAATTTGTTCGGAACAGCCAAACCAAGGTTCATCCATAGCTCCTTAGCTAGCTGGCTAGTGGAACCAGCTGGGCTGTGTGTGAGTTCGGCCCCTTGGAGTAGCTAAAGCTCCTCGGCGGGCTGGGCTGCGGATGCGGTCGGTGCGGTTAGTGTCACTGCTGGCGTATTGAGAGCGGGCTGGTGACCTGCGGGCAGCCAACACCGCTCTCGGAATGGGCCCACTGATTCAAGACCCGTTCCGGAAAACTGGAACCCAAAGACCTTTCCCTAAGTTTCATGCTACAGAAACATGAATTTAGATGCATCCTGACTAGAATTGTGAGGTGGGAATTGCTCCCTTTGTGTTCAGAAGTAAAAATAATACAGTTAGTACCAAAAAATGCAGGTAGGGAAATAAAAGCAATACAGTCGTTAAAGAAGTTAGTACTCCTGAGAGAAAATGTGGCAAACTGTATAATGCTAAATTTATCTTCGAAACTACACACCTACTTTAAAAAGCCATGACAATAAGAGAATTCTCATGGTATAGCATTCGAGTAGTTTAGGGATGTACTGGGGGACAGAGCTGAGCTCCTTGGACAAGTTCCCCAACATCGCTAAGCCTCGGGTGTCCTTGCTGGCAAAATGGGATAATGTGTGTCAGGACTCAATAGCATTTGGTACAGAAAGGGCCTTTCATAAATATTGGCTACTTGTGCAGTATTGTTGGGAGTTAGATAACTAGAGTTACCCAACAGTTCTTTTCCAAACATCTTAGATTCCTTTGTTTTAGTGTATTTATGAGGGAAGACACACACTTGGGGACAAGGTCAGAGAAGGATGGAGGGAGTCACCCTGGACAAGGTCTTGTCACACCTCGCTCTTCTTCCACAGTCCAGCTGCTCAGTATCCTGGGTGCGTTTGCACTCTGTGTGTGTGTGTGTGTATGTGTGTGTGTGCGCGCGCATGTGTGTATATGTGTGCATTTTAATTGCCAGAGGACACATCCACTAGCCAGAGAGAACTAGAGAGCGAGAGGAAGAGGGAGAGAAAGCACCCTCCAGTGGGACATGGTTAAGCCATAATACCATGTCCATTTCTCAATCCTGTCCGACTGCCAACACACAAGTGCAGGTGCCAGGCATGTTCTTCAGGATGCCAAACTGGGGCTCCAGCTGCAGTTGGCCATGTGGGATCCAGCTGCCCTCAGCCACTAGGCTCCTGGGCCAGCCCAGTACCCTATGTGCTTTTTGTTTTTTGTTGTGTTTTTCTTTTGGAAAGGCTTTTGCTATAGGGCATGTGCGCTCTCCAGAAAGAGACAGAGAGACAGAAAGTGAGAAAATCATCCCCTCACGGGGGATGGTCATGCCGCAATCCCTTCTCCTCCATTCTCCTCTCGGGATCTTGGACACGCACGCACACGCACCTGGGGTCAGTTTAAGTCACTGGGTCAGAGGCTCGAACTGCGGTTGACTACATGGGAGTCCAGCAACATACAACTGCTGGTCCCCAGCCTGTGTGTTTTGACTCAAGATCCAAACCTGTGATTAGCCATGAGTCTTCTCTCACTGTAGTTCACACAACTGCTACCATCTGCACCGCCAAGGCTGGATCCAAACTTCTTAGTTTTTGCACTTAAAACATGTATCAGAATAATCTTAAGGACTGTAACCCAAAAAGCATCAAGACAGTCTGGCTTTTATCAGTTGAAGAGTAGTGAATAGAAACTTTTCCCATTTTCAGGACCCTCCGATATGTTCCTGAGGAATCCAAAGACAAAGTTATCTCAGATGAAGATGTCCTAGAAACACTACTGAAAGTTTTCCAGGCTCTGTTCTTAAATGATTTCAATAAGCAATCCGATATCTTGACTCTGCTTCCAGAACCTGTTAAATCAAAATATCAAGACCTGCTGGCAGTTCAGCATCAAAGGGTGAAACTGCTTGAAAACAAATGTCAACAGCAACATATTTTTAAACCAGAAGAAATTCTATATAGGACATTGGGTTTCAGCATTGCCCGAGCAACTAGCTCATTGATTTCTGCTGGAAAAGGTGTCTTCGTTACTAAAGGATTGGTACCGAAAGGCGCGGTTGTATCTATGTATCCTGGTAACAGCAGTTATTACTTTGCCAAGAGTTTCTTATATACCAATCAATATAAATTCAACAAAATACCTAGGCTTGTAATCGTAGTGTAGGGGTTGAATTTTAAACTCGTATTTCTATAGATTTAAAAAATTCTAATTTGGAAATTAAATTATTTTATGTGTTAGAAAGTATCTTGAAGTATTTGTTGGGATGAGTGCATTTTTTTCTTTTAAGAAACTCTTTTTAACCATTGTTTAAATTTACAACAGAGTGTGGCCCACTTTGACAAATCATATTGAAAGCACTAGTTAATAAGTTAGTTTGCATAGTTGATAACTAAAGATAAAAATGGTATGAGTTAAACATAAAACATAGAACTTAAGCCCCTAAGTCATTGAATAAAAAAATCTTCCT